AACTTGTGACACATCTGAATTAGAGGCAGGGGCACTTAGCCATTAAACCGTGGGATCTGACACTAAGTCCAGGTAGACAGTATCAGAAGTGGAGTGAACTGTTGGACACCCAGTTGGTGTTGGAGGATTGGAGAATCACACAGCCCCATCCAAGCTGCAAGGGGCCAAAGGCCTCACAGAGGCAAGTGCTCCTTCAGACAGATGTCCAGCGTCTGCAGGAAATCAGACTCCTCTTAAATACTTGAAACAGAGTAGTTGGTCTACTATAAATGAGGTTTTTAAAATTCAATTCCCTCTCATTGCTCGTGCAGATCTGAAATGATCTGACCAGATGGCTGGTGCTCTATAATTCTTGGATTGCTCTCATCAGTTGATGATTTGGATTTTTTTCCCCTTTTTTATTTAACCCCCTCACATGAATGTGTTCCTGCAGAGACTTCCTGCGTGTTCCCATCAAATGGGATCTTTGTGCTAATGCTAATATTTCAGAGGCTCTTGCAGCCTCCTGGAAGTCAGCTCAGGTCAGTAAGGAACCCCAGGTTTGAGCTTCCCTAAGCCCACACAGGACCAACATGCAGCAACTGGCTAATGGGCAGGACAAGGGAGCCTTTTGCTCAGGCTGTATTGTCACCTCCACTTCTCCTTCAGGTCCCCAAGAAAAGGGAGGCAGCAAAAATATTTTTTTTCAAATGACAACTATAGCCATGTATTGAATATTTCCTGTGCCAAGCCCTGTGTGAAACATTTTACACATGTTAATCTTGTTTCAGTTTCACATCATCTTTGTGAAGTAGATATTTTCATCCCTATTTTCAGAGGAGGAAACTAAGGTTCAAAGATTCTAATTAACCTGACCAAGACCACACAGCTCAAATAGAGAACTAAAGATGGGGTTGGAGGTTTAACATCATAAAAGTTGACTCACTGCTCCACAGAGATCTCAGGGGTAGAGAAAGAAAGCCCTTGCCTCCCCATTGCCCTCCCATGTGCCCTTACTGAGCACAAGACACTTCCACCAAAACATCCAAAAATGCTTTGGTGCCTTTTTCTGTCTCTGTATCCTCTGTGAGACTATGAGCTGCTGGAAGACAGGGGTCATATGCCGTTTGCTACCCAAAGAGACAGTATAGCATAGTGGCTAGGAGCTCAAGCTTAGGGTCAGACAAAGCTAGGTTTGACTCTGACTCTACCACTTATTGGTCATTTGGCTAAGTCAGTTCTCTCTGATTCAGTTTTGTCTATAAAAATGAGGGCAGTGCCCGGCCAGGCATGGCTCAGCAGTTGAGCATCAACCTAGGATCCAGGAGATCGAACTTTAATTCCCAGTCCGGGTTGTGGGCTCAATCCCCAGTCAGGGGTGTGCAGGAGGCAGCCAATCAATGACTCTCTCATCATTGATGTTTCTCTCTCTCTCTCTCTCCCCCCACTTTCCTCTCTCTGAAATCAATAAAGATATATTAAAAAAATAGTAATAAGGGTAATTATAGTACCTGCCCTCAAAGAATGCCTGGCATAGTTGATGCTCAGTCAAGGTGATTTATTATCTGTATCTCCAGCTACCAGTACAGTGCCTGGCACAAAACAGGATCTCAGAAAATGCCCAGGGAGCACAAGCCCCACTATATATGGCTGTGACCAGCTTTCATAATAACAAGTGCACAGGCATAAAGTCCTGGGTTGTAGGGGGCCTCAGCCCCAGGACAAATTCCTGAGTTCCCTGCCCAGAACCCACAGGACCTGCCAGCAAACAGCTTTCCTCTGCTTGCTTGTGAACAGACGATGCTGAATCCACATTCAAACGCTTGCTGTGCTTCCATAAGGTGAGACAGACCCCAAAATAAACCAGGAGAGAGAGGAAGAGAGACAAGAAAACCACTTCCAGGAACAAGTGGCTCACAGTGAAGATGCTGACAGTAATAACAGAGGCAGGCATACTTCAGGAGAGTGACCTGTAGCTGCTCCAGAGCTGAATGGCTGGGGCCCAATTCCCACCTGGCCTGGTGGGAAGACCCATGAGATCATGGGCTGGTCCCCTGGTATTCTAACACATGACTGTAAATCTGCCTTCAAATGAGCCCTGGCCATATACCCTAGTATCCCCTCCTTGGAGTCCTGAAGACAACAAAGCTGAGGTCCTCCCTTCAGAGACCTGATGGAGACAGAAGGTACTGAACTAGGGTCAACATAAACTAGCCACTTTGCCATTTTCTTAAGTCCCCAAAAGATACACTACCATCTTCCTGTGCCATGTCCCTGACTCTGGCAGGAAATGCTGTGCTAACCCCTTCTGTTCCCTCTCCTTCTGTGGAAGGAGAGAGGGAGAGCATTTCATGACCATAGAAGTCTCTTTCTCACCAGAAGTTCCCTTCTCCATCTATGGCCAGAAAGAACAGGAAGACTACAATGTACCCTCACTGGCATCCAATTCCACAATAAAGTTGAAAAGGTGGCACTAATGGAAAAATTACCATTTGAAATCAGAACTGCCTTGCACTGAGTGATGTCTTCAAGTCAAGAACCCTCACAACAGCCTCTGTAGCAGATTGGGCAGGACATTTCCCCCACGTCACCAATGGGGAAACTGAAGGGCAAAAGAATTCGGTAACTTGCCCAAGATCCCCTAAGTAGCAAAGCTAGGATTTGAACTTCTGTCTAAAGTCAGTCCTCTTAACAACTAAATTATACTACCTCACCCTTTATCCACCCATCAAACAAGTTGCCAGGACTGGCTACATTCCTTTAACCTTTAGGCAGCTATGTTGGAAACTCCCAGGCAGCATTTAGAATGTGGTGAGTTAAATACTATATACTCTGATTAAAGGCAAGTGCCAGCTATCCACACAGACCACTAAGAGGTCAATTCCCTACCAACAGACATACATGCAAAACCTTTTCAATATACACACAGAACACCTCAATCCTATATCAGGGCCTAAGAGAGTCTTGTCTACCTCCATTTGTCGGACTTCCCAGCACCAGGCTCAGAATAACACTCTTAAGATGGGGCAGACATGACTGAAACCAGAGTTGCTTTGCCCCCTGGGCCATGGGGCCTAATTGTCTGTGTTCAACCACAACACACCAGCCTTCGAGACAGAATCTAGGGAATTTGGGGCAGAAGAATTTACAAGGGGCTCTTGGAAAACTAGAAAACAGAGGGAAATGTCAATGGGGAATCAAGCTAAATATAAAAATCAATGCTCCACTCTAATTCTCCAGGAGGCACTCAGAGCCCTCAGCCTGCCCTTGTCATATATGCTCTGGTTCTCCCTCCCCAAGGCTACAGAGGAGCCTCTTTGTTTAGCCATTAACAGCAGCACCACTGGCCAGAAGGCTGGGCAAAGACCCTGGGTCAGAACTTTCAGGCTTGCTCTGCAATGTAGACCAGGGCCTTGAAGGCTGCCACAAAAACAGAGAGGGAAGAAGTGGGGTCACAAGACATTGATCTCCATCTGCTCCAGGCACTTGCCCGGTTTGAAGTGGTACAAGCAATTTTAACCACATCAAACCAGTAGATACGGCTCTGGTCTTCTACTCCCCACCCCTGAAATCTCCTCTAGTTTTAGTCTTCAAGGACCAAGGAGCTCAGTTCTCAGGGAAGCTAGGGGAGAGCAGACAGATGCAGTACCTCTGTTCCTAAAACCTTCCTCTACTAACACCATTAGTTCCTACTTGGCTTCCTTGGTACTTCACCACTCTTCTGTGGCAGCAGCTACCTCTATGCAAGCCCAGCAAGAGTGATATTACTACCAGAAAGCTGGCTGGCACAGCAAACTGCTGTCCCTGCCAGCATAGCAGCAATGGAGGCAGGAAAGATAGGTGATGAATGTCAGCAAGGAGCTGATGCAACTACACTGTGGCAGCTGCCAAGGCTTGCCATCCACCTTGCCACAATACAGAATGCAAACAGCCTACTCCTCAGAACAGGACCTAGTGTCACTATAGTGGGACAAGGACAGCTGGGACTAGAAGGACAAGTGAGAGGAAGGTAGGTCCAGGCTCTGGGGTCAATGACATAGGACAAGTTAGTTGAATAACATAAGTCAAGTTACATAATCTCTCTGAGCCTCAATGTTTTAATAGGAAAATAAAGATAATGACAGGTCCCATTATGTGAAGATTGAACAAGCTTATACACATGAAGCACCCAACCCAGTACCTGAATATGATAGGTACAATTACTAGTTACTTTCATTATTATTATTGTTATTATGATTTTTTAATCTTCACCTAAGGACATTATCATTGATTTTTAGAGGGGGAGGGAGGGAAAGGCAGAGAGAAGGAGAAAGGGAAACCATCAATGTGAGAAAAATTGACTGGCTGCCTCCAGTATGTGCCCTGACAGGAGCCAGGGATCAAGCTTGCAACCTAGGTATGTGCCCTGAAGGGGAATCAAACTCGTGACATTTCAGAGTACAAGACAATGCTCCAACCAACTGAGCCACACCAGCCAGGGCTTTCATTATTATTTTAAGCCCTGGGCCTGGGCTCAGAAAAGGGTTAGAAAGTTGTTCCTTCTGAGGATGCCCCATTTAAAAACCAGGCCAGAATCAGCCCCCGTTTCTTGGCACAGGTTCTTTTAGCAAAAGAACACTCCTGCCCTGCACTAGTGATCAGGACTCTCCTGTGAACAATATTTCAGCAGCACTGAGCCGAGCAGAAGAGCTCAAAATAGCATTTGCAGAGCGAGGCACATGTCACTGCCTCTCCTGTGCTTCAGAAGTGCAAGGAAAGAAAGTTTTCAATCACTTGCTCAGAAAGCTTGGCGACCTACCACCTGCCTTCCTTCCAGGGCACTCAAAGGCCAAAATCTTTGTTTTGCTGGAAAATGAAGGTCCCTGAGCCCTGTAGCAGCAGTCACCACTCTGATGGACCACATAGTTTCCCTCCAGTGGGCCAAAGAGTGGCTGCTCCTTCAAAGAAGCCCTGTGGGAAAAAAGGGCATATGCGATTTGAATTTAGAGTGTGTTTCATGGGGACAAGGCTGGGCTTGGTACCTGGCCGAAGGACCTGCCACTCATGGCTCGGGTGAAACACCTCCAGGATCTCGGGGTCCAGCTCCTCCTCTGCTGTTGTTTCCTTTCTCTCTGTTTCTTTCGTCGTGCTCTTCTCTGGATTGGTCAGTGCAAACTCCTTCAGAGAAAAAAACAACACAGAGCATGACAGACCATAGCTAAACACCAGGCAAGTAGAAAGTAAATGGCCTGGGGTGGTACTCTTTCTCCTCTATGCTCCTCTTCCCCTCCCCAGCTATGTTTGGACCTTTCACGAGGTTAGCCTCAGAAGCAATGTAAGTGAGACAATATCGTTAAATGAACATGGCATGTGTTGTATGTATACAGCACTTTTGTACATGCACACAGAAAAAGTCCACAAAATTCTATAATATCTCCAGGGAGTTAAGGGAACATACTGGAACAGGGGCTGGCAAAAAGAGACAATAAGAGCCTTTTGCTTTTTACTTGATATACTGCTATATCAAGTAAAATGATGTTTAAAATTCATACCTATTACTCTTACAACTTAAATATATATTTATAAAAAGAAACAACATGTATGAATGAAGATAAGGCCTCAGATGGGCACCCCAGATGCACAAAAGCTAGTAAACTGGCAGCTGAGGCCCAAATGATTCCTAACCAGCCTAGCATGGCACAGTAAGGACCTGGCAATTCCCCAGGATGCCTATGGAGTATAAATGATCACTTGGGACATTCCAACCCATGTGTAAGGGGCACAAGTGGGAAGCTGGAATCCCAGCCGGGCTGAGGGAGGAAGAAGCCCAGGTTGGAAACCTCTTCCTAAAACCTGTTTCCTTCCATCCCATGGAGAGCATTGGAAGATTAATAAGATAGTATCAGTGGAGCACTATGAGCTCAGGAGACAAAGATGCAAGATAAATACAAAGTATTATTCATTTTGCTCCTTCCCAGACTTCCTGTCCCATTTTTAAACCTGTTCATGCATAAAAGCAGTAAGGCCTCGGGAAATTGGAACCAGAGGGTTCCAGAGCTCTGGGAAATTACATTTGGGAGGGCAAGGAGGAACCTACACTAGCACACGGGGTTGTTATTCAGCCTTCCCACCTCCCCCCTGATCATTTTTCCTTCCAATTCTTCCACTAATAATAGTAAGTATATTTCATGGATTCCTCCTATGAACACAAACCTGTGCTATACTTTACATAGATCTCATTTTGGTTCCCAACAATGCTAACCCTGAATTGGGAGGTAATAATGCATCTCTCAAGCAGTGCCCCAGCTCCAGATATGCATACCCACCTACCTGGCTCCCTCAGGTCTGATCTTCAATTAACTGTCAGAGGAAAGGTTAAGGTGTTAAGGTTTGGTGATAATGTAAAGCCCCTCCAAGGATTTTTCATTTTAACAAAAAATAAAGGCATGAAATTCAGACGGCAGGATTTCAGATCTTGTTAAGAACTGGTAAGGAAACTATCTTAGGCAAGAAGAGGCTCTCAAATGTCATAAGTAATGAGGCACTGACTATAGCATAATAGTTAAGAACTCAAGCTCTGCACCAGATCATCTAAAGTCCAAATCCCAGTTTCTTGTGACTCCAGGAAAGTTACTTAACTTTCTAAGCATTAGTTTCCACATTTGTGAAGTAAAAATAATAACGTCAAGCTCATACATCAGATGAAATATTACCTTGTAAATCACTAACCTTGTGTACACAGTGGCTGGTACTCTTATTACTTGTAAAGGCAGTCATAGTTTCCAGGTTAGATGAGTCTGTGCTCTGATATCCAACAGAGACTACACAATATGGCACCATTTAGGCACGTCAGGCCTGGTCCCACAAACCCCTCCTACCCCTTCAACTTGAAGTTTGCACAAATCTGAGCTCAAAAGAAAACTAGGAACAGAAGAGAATATGTGCTTGTGACACTAAAGAGCAGACAGAGAGGCAGGCAGAAAGCACCCTACATTATGACGGCATGGACATCAAACTTCCAACAGCCGAGTTTCTGAGGACAGGCTCTGGGTCAGTCTCTTTCACCAATGCACCTCTCCATGCCTAGCACAGGGCTTATCTTGTAATCAAAGAACAAAAGGAAGGAAGGAACGCCCCCCCCCCC